AATTGATGTCGGGTAGAATGTAATCCAAAAGTCTGGAAATAATAATTCATTGATTGTCATAAAAAATTTGATAAATTCTACTATTACAAGCTGAATTAATCTCACTTTCAATTTCTATTGATGTCAATCTCTTCCATGGGACATGTATGTATTTGAATACAATGTCAATTGATTTTAGAGTGACTACAAATAGTAATTATGATTTTTGTTGTTTTATTTATTCCATGTTATATTTCCTTTCAGAAAAAGCTTGAAATTCTGTTGTTTTCTTATTTAGCTATCTTGTATGGTTTATTTCACCATTTCCTTTCCTTATTATTGTTTACTTTTTTATAATTTGTAATTACTTTGTTTATAATGTTGACTTGTTACTCCGTTTGACTTCTTTTTTGTATATATAATAGTTTGCTAATGGTGATCGCGATCTCAAAAGGAGCAAGAGTCCCATAAGAAAATATATATACCAACAAGAGTTTATTTATTAATTTTCAACTTACTTTGTTATATATGACTATTTAATTTAAATTTTTTTCATTGTTGTAAAAATAGAAGTGTAAATTCTACGAGAAGGGCACTTGCAGGTATGGTGCAAGGTGTTGGGTAAGTATTCTAAAAAGAAATTTAATTATAATTTTCTTAAACTGCTTAACATTAATTATATTTTTATATTATACAACTTTCCAGTATAGACATAGCGACCAAGTACCACGGTTCTGTCCCCTTTTTGTTGCTATAGGGGAATGCTAAATGGAAGGAAATTGTACATTCGAGCACCGTCGTTGAATCAGGAAGAGAATAGTGTATTGTTGCATAGAAAATAACAAAATACATATAGGCGGAATATTTGTGATGTAATACGAAAGTTGTATGGAGTATAGAAAGGTAAACAATGCATAAAATAGAAAGTGCTTTCGGTACTTTTCTTTTTGGGAGGAAAGGTAAACAATGCATAACTAGGTTACTGAATTTGAAATGTTTTTTCAATATTACTTTGTATTTGAAAAGGTAGTTACGTTCATTACTATGTACTATATAATCACATGATATGCAAGTCTCATTTGAGTTTTATAGGTAGTTGAGTTTTGAAATGGTTGGGATTTTGTGTCCAATGACCAGAAAAATGTCGATCAGAAAAATGGAATAGGAGGTAAACAACCCAATTTTCAAATCACATGATTTTTGTACTGTTCCCTTGATTGTCAGGTTGCTATAATATTGGTTCTATACAAGGACTTCGACAAGTTTTCATTGGAATTGCTAGAGTCGTAACAAAAACTTTGTAGTATTTACTATATTATAGAGAAACTATGCAAAGGACAAGTGCTAACTATAAATCTGTGCATTTGCTTTGCTAGTTTTCAATTTGATTAGTTGGTTTATTATTGCTTACCTAATAGGATTAGGTCTCTCGTGGGAAAGTTTATGATAGTCTTAGTCTTATTTCTTTAGCTTTGCATAATGCCAGCCTTGATTGGTTTGTAGTATTTGTCGTTGATGTAGTCAAATGAGGCTTTTAAAGAATTCAGCTTTGTGTTTGGTTAAGAACAAGAAAACTAATAAATTATAAAGTGAGTACTCACAATGTTCAAATAAAATACATTGTTTTGATTATTTCATTCTACGTAACATGTAATAGTTGATCAAACTTGATGATTGTATTGAAAATCCCATATTCATTATTGTATCACATTTCCGGTTTCTTGTTGGCCTTGCATAACTTGTATTCATAAATATTTTTAGAGAAGTTCCATGTAACATATTTAGTGAATCTTCTTCTCACTTAAAAAATTATGAATTGTTAAAGTAGTTGTTCATTCAAATAGTGAATCAACTTAAACTCACTGGTTGAAGACAATGAGATAATGACTCGTGTAGTTTCAAGGTCTAATGAAGATCAATTATACTGTAGTGTATTATTTTTCTCCAAAACTAACTAGGTCTTTTAAGAAGAGCAAGGAATGATTGTTGAAAGTATTGTTTGTTATTATTACTGAAAAATAACCAATTGAATGTTCTGTATAATTTATATTGGTTTACACAATTGCGAGATTGATTTGTTTGTAGTTATTTTTGGTGATTTAGTCAAATCAGTTTATCAAAGAATTCAGTTTGGTGTTTGGTTGAGAGCAAGAAAACTGATAATTTATCAAGAAGAGTCATAAAAGTAGTTTGTTAAATATGAGTCATTACATATCTTGTATTTGCTTTCATGTGTTTCTGATTTCATCTTGTAAAATATTAATTTCATAATTGAGATTAGAGAGTTTAATCAAGAACAACTACTGCAGGGATTGCTATTAATGTAGGTGGTTTACTTTCACAATGCATCAATCTATCCTAATTACATGAGCATTGACACCTCTAACAAATATATATGAAACAATGCACCTCCTTGACCCGTGAACCGCCCGCACGGGTCACGGGTCGGCCCGCGGTCCCGGTTTTCACGGGTCGATTTTTACGGGTCATGGCCGGCCCGTCCGTCTTGACACCTCTAAATGCATGGATGAAGGGAGGTGCAATTATGCTCACCATTATTTTATTCTCTTGTTGAGTATGAATGACATATAGTAGCTGAGTACAGTTATATCTTACCAAAAAACTAATGTGAAAGCTTAATTAGTAATTTAGTTTAAAAAATAATCAGATTATCACGTCAACTTTTTCCATTAGTCAAATTAATAGATGCGGTGGAGATACCAACTCAAAATAAGAAGTAACCAATACGTATAAAACCAATATAGGTGGAAATGATTATTAAAACCTTATACATCTACATTTTTTTTTTATGGTAAATGTATGAAAATAATACCTAGTTTAATATTTAGTTGCTTAGTTTGGATGTACTCGAAGTCTCAAACTTCATTTGGTACCCTTCTAATCTTGTCAAATCTATGAAATTACTGTGGTAAAAAGCAACTAAACTGTAATCTCAATATTCAATTCACGATTTTATTAGGGGAAATCATTTACATAAAGTTGCATATTTCAAAAGTAATTTTTAAGTTACTATCAAAATAAGCAACTTGTATATGAAGAAATATTAAATACTGAAAACTTACTATTCAATTATTAGTAAGCTTTTTAAGTATGTCCAAATATGAGCTTGGAAGAAGAAACTGGCTTCGTCAAAGATTAAAATTGTAAGAAATCTCAAAATATATATAAAAAGATTTGTGAATTCTATTTGCGCGCTTCTTAGATTATAACACTTTGTTGGTCACCAAACTTTTAAAAAGTGTCACTTTAATCATTGATCTCTTTTTTAGCACGGAGGGTTACCGTACTCAAATAGTTATTTAAATATAAGTCATTTAGAACTGTGAAATAATGAATATACTGTCATATTTAAATAAAAATATATTTTTTTAATTTTTAATTTTTTAATAATTTATTTGAGACTCATTTGTACTTTAAAAAAAATTGGAACTATGATTGAAATTAATTCTTTTAACTTTTTTATTTAAATAAGAGGGTATAGTCATCATTTCACATCTTTTTATGGAGAAATTGGATGAAAATGGATAGAAATGATGGTTTGTTCTATTGTGTAATTAAGACGAGAATGCCAAAAAAAAAGTAGGGACTTTTTTGTAATAATAGTGAAATGTTGAGATATTATGTGTTAATTACCTTTTTAATAATTTATTTGAGATTCATTTGTACTTTTCAAAAATAATTGGGACTCTGATTGCAAATACTTTTTTTTCTTTTTCCTTTTGTTTTATTTAAAGGGACGTGTATATTCATCATTTTACAATTTTTGATTGAAAATATGGATAAAAATGACTTTTTGTGCAAAGAAATGTGGAAATGAGGGTGAAAATGTCAAAAAATAAAATGTAAGGACATTTTTCATAATAACAGTGAAAAGTGGAGACATTATGTGCTAATAATCCAATCAATATTGCCATAAGGGACCACTTGCAAGACATTAAGATAGTTTAAAAGCTATTTTGACGATTTAAATCCTATTGGACTAACTTCCATCAAGATCAATAGTTTGGGATCTGAGCGATAATAACCTTTGAAGAAGGACTCAATTGCGATACTTGGTATAGTTTGTGACTTATGGTGCAAATATCTTTTAGACACATTACGTTGAAGTTTGAACACAACCCCAGTGTAGAGATAGGGGGGAAATCAGATTACAAAACCCTTTCACGTGTCCATAAGAATCAAGTGGAGGGGAAAGGAATGGGACAATCGAGCTTCAGCTTTGTTCATCAATTTCTTGTTCTTGATTTTTTCTAGCGAAGAGAGGTGTGAATCGACTAACAAAAGGGAGCAAAAATGAGGATTATGATAAAGGGTGGGGTATGGAAGAACACAGAGGACGAGATCTTGAAGGCGGCGGTGATGAAATATGGGAAGAACCAGTGGGCTCGAATCTCGTCCCTGCTTGTTCGTAAATCCGCCAAGCAATGCAAGGCCCGCTGGTACGAGTGGCTGGATCCCTCCATCAAAAAGGCATGTACTTGATGTCTATTGTTTGCTTCCTGATTTAATTGGCGGAAATTTTGGAACGTCATGGGTTAATTTCAGCATTTTGTTTTGATCTTTTTCTATTGTTGGGTTATTCTCTCTTTTTTCAAAGTTAAGCTTTTTCTAGATATATGGTAGTAGGACTACTTGTCTGTTGGTGGTTAGAAGAATATTTCAATAATCAATCGACTAAAGTAAATACTACGAGCTTCAAGCTTTTGCTTATCTTGAGTCAATCAACTGAAGTGTATCTGCTTTATCATTTTGGTAGTAATATTCTCAAGAGGGGATGCTGGATGTACCTTAATTTTTTGTTCATCTCCGTTGGCAAAACAAAGTTTGGATTTTTGTTATTTTTATCATTTTGTTGCTTCCGCACTTGCCCCTTCATTTTAGATTTTATGGAGTTATTATTATTATTTTTTAAAATATGTCGGATTTGTGATCTTTTATATTCCGTGCAGACAGAGTGGACCAGGGAAGAAGATGAGAAACTACTGCATCTTGCTAAGCTCATGCCCACACAATGGAGAACCATTGCCCCGATTGTTGGCCGTACTCCATCTCAGTGCCTTGAACGGTATGAAAAACTCCTTGATGCAGCATGTGCAAAGGATGAGAATTATGAACCGGGTGACGACCCCCGTAAATTACGTCCTGGAGAGATTGATCCCAATCCAGAATCCAAACCTGCTCGTCCTGATCCTGTGGATATGGATGAAGATGAGAAAGAGATGCTCTCTGAAGCACGTGCACGGTTAGCCAACACGAGGGGCAAGAAGGCAAAAAGGAAAGCTAGGGAAAAGCAACTCGAAGAGGCAAGGAGGCTTGCCTCGTTACAGAAAAGAAGAGAACTAAAGGCTGCTGGTATTGATATTCGGCACAGGAAGAGGAAAAGAAAGGGAATTGACTACAATGCTGAAATCCCATTTGAAAAGAAGCCTCCCCCGGGTTTTTATGATGTTGCCGATGAAGATCGGCCAGTTGAACTGATTAAGTTTCCAACCACTATTGAAGAACTGGAAGGTGAAAGAAGAGTTGATAAGGAAGCAAGATTAAGAAAGCAAGATGCTGCTAGAAATAAAATAGCACAAAGGCAGGACGCTCCATCAGCGATATTGCAAGCAAACAAGCTTAATGATCCAGAAACAGTCAGGAAGAGGTCTAAACTAAATCTTCCTGCACCACAGATTCCAGATCATGAATTGGAGGCAATTGCGAAGATAGGCATTGCTAGTGATCTTGTGGGGAGTGAAGAAATCTCTGAAGGGAATGCTGCGACACATGCTCTTCTTGCAAGCTATGCTCAAACACCACGGCAGGGGATGACTCCATTACGAACACCTCAGAGAACTCCTGCAGGTAAGCAAGATGCCATTTTGATGGAAGCAGAAAATCAGCGGAGATTGACTCAATCTCAGACTCCTCTACTTGGGGGAGAGAATCCTATTTTGCATCCTTCAGACTTTTCCGGAGTAACTCCTAAGAAAAGGGATACTGCAACACCAAATCCTCTATTGACTCCTTCAGCCACTCCTGGAAGCATTACCCCTAGGGTTGGCATGACACCTAGCGATGTGTATTCTTTTGGAATGACACCGAAAGGAACTCCTATAAGGGATGAGCTCCACATTAATGAAGACATGGATATTCAAGACAATGGAAAGTTAAGACAATCTTCTGATTCTAGAAAAGAACTGCTTTCTGGTTTGAGAAATCTTCCACCTCCCAAGAATGAGTACCAGATAGTCATTCAACCTGTTCCTGAAGACAATGAAGAACCAGAGGAGAAGATTGAAGAAGATATGTCTGACAGGATTGCTAGAGAGAAGGCTGAGGAGGAAGCAAGGCAGCAAGCATTACTTAAAAAAAGATCGAAAGTACTGCAGAGGGAGCTCCCTAGACCTCCACCTGCTTCATTGGACCTAATCCGAAATTCTTTGATGAGAGCTGATGAAGACAAGAGTTCCTTTGTTCCCCCAACGCTGATTGAGCACGCTGATGAAATGGTAAGAAAGGAGCTTCTACAATTGCTAGAGCATGATAATGTAAAATATCCACTCGAAGAGAAAACTGACAAGGAGAAGAAAAAAGGCTTGAAACGGGGGAAATCTGTACCTATTCCTGCAATTGAAGAGTTTGAAGAAACTGATCTAAATGAGGTATGTGTAATTCATCCCATCTTTTGTTGTGATGACAAATTCATGTCATTTATGATGAAGTTTTTGTTCCTTGATTCCTTGTACTGGTTTTGATTTTGAGCTTTGAGTTGTTGCATATATCTTACTTTATATCTTAGAATGTTAATCCTACTTGAGTTAAGTCTCATTATTTTTGAAGAATTGCAAATGTAGTGATTATTTCGAGTAAAATACTGAAAAATTAGTGTGAAATTGCACAAGTAAATGATACTTTTTACTCTGACAAATACTGATAATGCTAAGTTTTGATATTGTTTGTGAATTCTCAGTGGTAACAATATTTGTGCTTTTCTTCTTGCTGAGAGACATTAGGTTACACATGAAATGTGACAGTGTTGTCTAATTGCAAGGACAATATAACCAATTTGGTGAGTTACAGTGAGTGAAAATGGGCAAATATGATTTATTACTTAGATAAATTGAACGAGATGGATAACATTTATGATCATATAAAGTGGTTATGTTTACATGCATGTAGATTATAATCACATGATATGCATGTATGATATGGGTCATACGTACAGTTAAGTGCATCGAATACAGCTTTCTGAACTCTTTTGTAGACTTTGTCGCGTATGTTTGTTTGGAAATGGTAGGGCTTTTATGCCCACGGACCATAAAATTTAACCATGGAACTTATTTTATATCTATATTACAAAAGGTAATATGTTTGTGACATTTACAACTTCTTCACGAAAGGTAAGCCTATAACTTTCATGTGTCTTTTGATATTAGCTTCTCCTTCAAATTTGCTAATGCTTGAAATCACAAATGCTCAAGATGAATTAATTTATCTGTAGCATTACCCTTGTCTTTCCAATTCTTCTGAAAAAGGACAAAGAAATTTAGAGATGGAAGGAAAAAAATTCAAAGAGTGATAAGAAATTGTGAGGAGCACGAGTACTTTCTAATATTAAGATTCCTGCCCCCCATAGGTTCCGCATCTTGAGTTTCGATTGTTCTGTTTGGTGAATCAGAACGAGGGGTGGACATGATTTTATTTGGTTCTGGTTTTGGTTCCAAGAGAACTGAATCGAACTATGAACCAATGGTTTTTCCGATAATGAAACCAAATGGTTTTTTTTAAAGATATGGAACCAAATAGAACCGAACCGTTCAGTTCTGCTTTGGTTTGGTTTGGTTTGGTTCTAGTTTCATTTCTTAAATTTTCATATTTGCATCATATAAAAAAATCATAACTAACAAACAAAACATATTTATAATTTGAATACACAAATTAGTTTTTGTTCTCATACAAAAAATTGTTTAATAAGTAATAGCAACGTTTCACTAAATTAATTGCAGCAGTTTTGAAGGCACACCTCTACAATAAAGAATGAATTATCAAATTTTTTACTGTCCACTTTTATAGGCAACATTAACCGTTTTAATACTTCATGAATGTTTATTAGGTTTTCCTCTATTTGTGAAGAACACAAATAACTCATTAAACAATCAAGGTAAAAAAATAGTTTAAAGACTTTTTAAGTAACTGACCAAGTTCATTTTTCGATCTTAGATGACACACCACTAACTTGATGAAATGCAGTACCAGCAAGCCGCGGCGTTGTGTAAATTGAAAATGAGTGAAAAAGAAATGATTCAACTGAATACAAAATTAGGGTGTAAGTAACTAATGAGCTGTCTGTCTCTAATGATCCAAAATCGATTAACAAACTTTATTCAATTAATGGGCTATCTCCAATGAATATAAATTAGAGTCTTCACTAATTAATATATATATAATTAAATATTAACTTTGGTTCTGGTTCTGGTTGTGATTCTTGAACTATAACTGAACCAGAACCAAAACCCAATTATTCTCGGTTCAAAGAACCAACATTAATTTTTTTGATAGAACCGACCCGAATCGCTTGGTTTGGTTTGGTCTGGACATTTTTTCCACCCCTAATTAGAACCGTAGACGTTACTTCTTTTCTTTGATCCTAATCCATAACATCAATTATTCATTAAACTTGCTTGGATGGCTTCTTCTTACTTCAGTCTTTGCAGAAAAATTTAATGAAGTTCGAAAAAAGGAAAAAAATATATTTAAATAAAGCATATTGCAAGCAAAACTACAGCGAATACATAACTTGCTGCCACTATAACCAACATTTTTTTAACGACATGAGGAAATTTATGACTTTACCTCAAAGACATTATGTGACTCCTCATCTTTTTGGTTGAACCATGCTTTAAAAGCCACTATTTGAAGGTGATTTATTTGAAATCAGTTTAGATATAAAAGACCTCTACGACAATTAAAATAACAAGAACCTTGAGAAAACAGAAGTCTTGAAGCGTTGAAGACCTTCAGAAACACTAGTTCATACCTGACGAAGAAACTCAGTTAAAATACTCCTTGGTATTTAAACTATCCAACTGGGTGCATGTTTATATGTATCAGAGTTTGCCAATTGTGTACCAAATCATAGGTTATGTAGGATTCCTTGTACAATTTTGTGCCATTTTCGTTCAATTCAAATTTAATTTGAACAGTTCTTATCATGAGCTTGCAATTCTGACAACTGTGCCTCCATGTCAGATATGTGCTTTCTAAGTTGATGGAGTTAGTGGTATTATGCCTACTGCTATTCGTGTTTGGCTCAATCCTTGATTGTTTGGGTGTTTTGAACTGATAAATCCAATGAGTTTAGCTTCAGTCTTCTTCTTGTTGTTTTGTTTTTTTTAATACATAAATGATTTACTGTTATTTTCTCCTTCATGTTCACGTATGTCAAATTAGCAAATGGAATTTTATATTGTTCTTTTGGGTCACAAGTGATGAGCCATTAAATTTTCTTGATTGTGTTTTTGTGGGAACTTTCAGTTTCATGTATGTCTCTCCTGATTTTCGCATTGATTATTGCCAAATGGATCATATCCAGTGAAAATAAACTAATAAAATCCTATCATGCAGGCTGACAATTTAATCAATGATGAGGCTCAATTTCTTCGTGTGGCAATGGGTCATGAGAATGAATCTCTTGATGAATTTGTTGAGGCTCACGGAACATGCTTAAATGATGTTATGTATTTCCCTACTCGTAATAGCTATGGTCTATCTAGTGTTGCCAACAACGTAGAAAAGCTTGCTGCCCTACAGAACGAATTTGAAAATGTGAAGAAGACGATGGATGACAATACTAAAAAGGCACAACGTCTTGAGCAGAGGATAAAAGTTCTTACTAATGGCTATCAGGTTTACTATCCTCAACTTAACTAACTATTGTGGTTATATCATTTTTACTCTTAGGTGAAACAGTTTTATTTTGTTGAACATTCTTAATATATGGTTGAACTTCGACAACCATAAACTTGTTTATTTTGTTGAACATTCTTATAATATTGTTGAACTTTGACAGCCATAAAATTGTTGGTTTTGACGCATGTCAAATCTTAAGTTAAAATTTTTATGTCCCACCTTTGACCATCTTGAGAAAACAACACTCAAAAGCACATCTTCACAAAGAATCATAAAAGGATTTTTTAAGTTTCTAATTAAATTACAAGGCATTTGCTTGAGCTACGTAATATATTGCAATGTGGGAAAAGTTCCGAGTTAAATTCCAGTTATAAGTAGGGCGTAAAATAGTTGAAATGATTATGTGAAGTATCACCGTATCGTATTTTTGTTGTGCAATTAAAAGACTGACAAATTAACACTTTTGTTTAGCATGACTTGTGAGAATTGGTCTGGATATTTTGTGGTCCTCTGTGTAGCCTGACAAAGTTTTAGTATTATTATAAGGATTATGATAGCATCCATGTTTTGGTTTCCATTACACGGAAAATATAAATTTTTAAAGTGGCTGAGAATATTTAAGCACGGCAATGAAAATAGGAAGTTCCCCTGGCTAGTGATATACAATTGCGATGAGTAAATTTTTTTGTACTTATGGTTGATGGTTGTTGGGTTTTTATAAATCTCGTGCTTAGAAGTTAGATGCTAATTGATTGGCACTGTATTATCAGATGCGAGCTGGAAAACTTTGGTCACAAATCGAGGCAACCTTCAAGGTGATGGGCACCACGGGGACAGAACTTGAGTGCTTCCAAGCTTTGCAAAAGCAAGAGCAATTAGCAGCAACACAAAGGATCGGTAGCCTCTGGGATGAAGTTCAGAAACAGAAAAATGTTGAACAAACTCTACAGAAACGATATGGCGACCTATTAGCTGAGCAAGAAAGGGTTCAGCATCTAATGGATGCATACAGAGTACAAGCGCAAATAGAGGAAGAAATAGCAGCAAAGAACCGTGCTCTTAAGCTAGCTGCAACTGAGGCTGCTGTAAGTCAAACTGTTGCACCAGATCATGGAACTTCCAATCTTGTAGCCACCACTGAGGAGGAAAACTCCATGCTGGTTGATACAACTGATGAAACGACAAGCCAACAGAAGGGTGCTGCTCAAGAACAGTCGGAGCTGAGTCCAAAACACGGGATGGATATTGATGCAGTGGATGAGAATACAACTTCGGCCACGGTTGACCAAACCATGCCATATCCTGTTAAAGAAAATTCTCTAACCAGTGATACACATGGGGAACCCATAACAAATGGCGAGGGCTTCGATTCTGCTGGTAGTGTTCAGTTATCTGTTAGTGATGAAAATCCAGCAACTGGGGATTCCACTGGAACTTCTCTCGACAAAAACCCTGATGTAGTCAACATGCACGAGACTGCGAGGAGTGGTGGTGCTGTTATCAATGGATCTGCCAATGACAACTTATCTGGTGACCGATTTGTAACAGAGGATACAGCAACAGTTGAATGTCAACAAAATGTGGCGGGAGAGAATGCAAATGGTGATATTGTAACTAATCAAGAACACGAGGTTCATGAAACAGCTGAAGATGGTTTCACCGAGAGGGATACTAACTAGGCTACCAAATGTTCAGTTGAGAAGCTGAAAATAGAAAGATAAAATGCTCTGCCATTTGGTTTGCATTTCCCTGAAGTGGTAACTATGAAGAAAGTTGCTCGGTTTTTTAAGGCGTGTAGTTGGGGCTCTCTTTCTGGAACTTCTCGACACGATTGCCCAATTTTTTTGGTTGATGTTTGAAAGATACAGAAGCTCCCCTTCACTTGGATGAAACTATCTTTTAAGTTATCTTCCTCAAATTATGAAGTGAAAATGTGAGGAAATAACAGCATTGACAATGTACCGTGTATGTTTTCAGTTTTACTATATTAAACAAGGCACTGGAATACTGTGTGTTTTCATGCTTGATTTAAAATTTCATTTTCATGATTGGTTTCAGAAGAAAATAATAAAAGAAAAAAAAAATTCACTTTGGTGGTTGTTGTGAACATTTAAAAGGTGTGAGGTTGCAGAAATAAATTTTAATATATCAACATTGAGATCACTTTCTTAATGATGAGAAGAAATTTGTACTAACAAGTTAATTTAGTAAGAAAATTGGGAGCAAAAAGGTTCAATCGAAAATCCTGTTTTGAAATTTTTTTTATTATTTCAATTTTACTGAGGTGAACAATGCTATGCATTCATCTCTTTCTAGTAGAGATAAATAACGTTACGAAAATCAAGAAAATAAAACAAATAGAGGCATTATAAAGCAACGAGATATCAAAATGCAGAAAACAGTCAAACATCATTCATAGAAGATACCAACAGTCCTTACGATCTGTTCACAAAAATATTGGAAAAAGAACTTTGCTAGGGGTACATAAATTTTCACGTAATGGTTCACATAATTACATATGGCACATATCCAATATTTAGGGTCTTTTTGATTGTAAGGGTGGAAAATGGGTGGAAAGAAAATGTTTTACAGGGAATTAATTTTCCTGAAAAATGTTTTATTGAGAATTGTAATTAATTGTGTTTGATTAGTATAATTTTTCATGGAAAATGTTGAAATTTTGGTGTCCATTTGGCTTATTTGATTGGTAAAATTTTCTATGGAAAATGTAGAAAGTTTTGTGTCCATTTGACTTCATTTTTTATGGAATTTGTCCATTAAAGTGATAATTTTTTCTACCATTGGGTCTAAAATTTGTTCCAATTGTAAAAAAAAAATTTGAAAAAACAAAATTTACTATACCGAATATCATTTGTTTGACTTTGTTTTGCATGGATGTTGTCAATAAAAGTGAAATTTCTTTTTACCATTGTAGCTAGAATTTGTTCCCGTTGCAAGAAAAAAAAAGGTGAAAAATGTTTTTCCACCAAATAGGTGGAAAAACAAAATCAAACTTTTGTGCATCAAAGATTGTACTTAGAAAAAGATGGAAAATATTTTGTCAGGAAAATTTGTACTATCAAACACCCTTAATTGGCTAAAGTTAGAAAATATTTTCTCTTTCCACCAATTTTCTAAGCTATCAAACGGATAGAGGTGTCAAGACGGACGGGCCGGCCAGACCCGTGAAAACTGGCCCGTGAAAATCGGGACCGCGGGCCTACCTGTGACCCGTGAGAGCGGTTCACAGGCCAAAGAGGTGTAACACGCGGGTTTCGCGGGTTTCACCTCCATGGGCCGCGGTTAACCCGCGATTCGTAAAAAAAAATTAAAAAAAAAAAAATTTTAAATATGGTAACAATGAAAATATGTCTCTTCTCCAATCTCTAATACAACTTCTAAAGACAAATCTTCTTTTTTCTTCATAATAGCTAAGAAATGTAATGTTCTTGATTCTTCATCTACTACTTCAATTTCAGCTGCAAATCCACATACCACACCTGCTGAATTAGAAAGATATTATCAATTTGATCATTATAGTTTAATACCTGAAGATGAAGTTGATAAGTTAGATATTTTACGATGGTGGAAATTAAATGAGCGGTCATACCCTATATTATTTAAAATGACACGAGATATACTAACAGTTTCAGTCTCAACAATGGCATCCGAGTCTGCTTTTAGTGCAGGTAACGGGGTATTGGACGAACGAAGATCTAAACTTAAAGAAGATATTTTGGAAGCTCTCATATGCGTGAAAGATTGGATATTCGGGGATCGAAGGATACAAGATAAAATGAATGATGATGTTGCTGAAAATTTCAAAAATTTTACAGTTCATGAAAATTGATTAAGANACCACCAGTGGTTGGGTGGGTTGTTAAGAGGGCATTGAGGGCTTCAATATGGTATATTGGTCCGTAGAAAAAGGTGGTCGGAGGATGGAGTTATTGTGGTCCAAAGTTGGCACCTCCAAGCTGTCCAAAATTTAGATGTGTTCACTTTGGTCCTTTATGTTTGAATTAAAGGCATAACGGTCCTCCAATGACCGTTTGTAAAAGAAACTTAAACTCCAATGACCGTTTCTGTAAGTTTTGAATTTCAGTGACCGTTTTATTATTTTTGCGTAAGTTCAGTGACCGTTTGTTAAATTAACCCATAATAATATATATTATTATGATAATTATTTTTATAACGAGATTTGAATATAAGAGTTACAATAGTCACTACAAAAACGACTTAACCATTTCATGTGTTATATACTTGAGATTCTACTAAACAAAAATGCTACACTTATTTGATGTGTAAGTATATAGCACTTGTTTGATCCCCATTTTGAAGAAAAAATGTATTTTAAAATAGTGATTTTTTGAAAAATATATGGCTAATAAATAAGAAAAAGTTTTCGATTTATGTATAAAATTATTTTATTGAAGAATGTGTGGTTGACAATAAGTTTTGGAAAAAAAATATTTTTTTGTCACAAAGAACAATTTTGTCTAGATGGTTCGCATGAGAGCTTTTTCTTAAGTCTAAAAAAGCATGTTTAAAAGAAATTTTTAAAAGGGGAAAAAGAAAAAAGTTTCATCCCCATAATTAAAATCAAATGAATACTCAGTTAATAAGCCAATATAGGAAATGAATGCTAATTTAGGGCTCGATATAACTTTTAAAAAGTTAAAAGAAACTTTTGAACCCGTTTGATTATTTATATGAAAGTGTTTCTTCTTGTTAGAAGAATTTTTAGAAGAAACCGATCCAATTTGATTTCCTTTAAAACACTTTTGGAATAAACAGTTCTTTTAAAAAATAATTTTCAAATAAAAATTAAGATAACTTCTTCCAAAAACCCTTCCACGAGAAATGAAAGCAAAAGTAAAAGTAAATATACACTAAACTAAACTTTTTAAGAAAATTTGCTTATAAGTAGAAAAATATTTATACTATTTTGGTGAAAGTTAAAACATCTAAATATTTAAGTTACTTATTTTCTACACCAAAATAATAATTACTTTGGTAAAAACTAATTATTTTAAATTCAACATATATATAAGTTATTAAACAAAAAGTTGCTAAAAGATCATTTTAATTTTCTTTTTCTAATTTAGTCAAAAATGCTAGTTGATAAGTGCGTTTTGGGCACTTATTTAGACCACAAAACATAAAAAATTGTCGATATATATGTTGAAATATAACTTAATTCGATATAATTTGTGTTTGTAGGATTACATTAATTGATGGAATGAAAAATATGCAAAAGCGGGCGAAAAATGACCAAATTGGAAGAAAATGAAACTTTGAGGACCAAAGTACAGTTATTCAGAAGATGACATGAATGACGAATCAAGCATGGATTTGAGCTAAGTAACACAATGTGATGTCAATGAATGCTAGAAGAAGAAGGTGAAGGAATCAAAGCCAAAAAGTAAATGAAATAAAATTTGGGGATCAAATTGAACCAAACGAAAAATACACTGCATGGTAGAAATTGCATGCAGTCGTGCAAGTACCAACAGGAGATGAACAGTGCCAAATTTTTATAACCATGCTGTCGCATGAGTTTATACTATGCAGTCGCATGGTTCAATATGGGCGCGAAAATTCTGATTTCCTTATTTCGTTCCAACTCTTATGGAAACCAATCTTTTGGCAACTATATAAACTCTTAAACCGTCCACAAACCCTAGGCAAACCTGGGAGGAGACTTTTGNTTTTCTCTATAATTATATGTGCAATAGTTGTATGAGTGTGATGACTTATTTTATGCATTCGAAAGAAGAGAAATAAGCTCGAAGGGAATAAATCATCGTATGGTCCGATAGGGGATAGAAATATTCCGCTATGCTCTACATGAATTTTTAAGTATTTACAAAACGTCATGCACTCTTATATATTGCATTTGTCATAGAAATATAGTCATATGGTATGCGAGAATACGTTCAATTCTACTCGAGAGAGATTATTGAATAAGTTAGAAATATTGATTCTTCATCAATTCAAACATGTTATCAATTTTGTAGAACTACAATTAAAATATATCATTGCATGGGGATTCGCGAATCTAGTGTGTTTCTTTTCTATGAGTTACTTCAATTTACATTCAATCATATAATTTGCATTTAGTTCAACTAATTCATCAACTATTGCTTTCATTTAGTTTAGCTACAATTTAGTTACAAAACTCAACCATATTTCACGTTTCGGTTAAAGTCAGAATAGGTAAAATCGAACTAGTAAATCTCAGTGGGAACGATACTTGGACTCTAAAATTCATTTTGTTACTTGAACGATCCGTACACTTGCGATAGTTTTTATTCGAAACATATTTTCGATAAACACTAATCGCTGAAGAAGAAAAACACAAAGAATAGGGATACAAAGTAAGGTTAAGAATTCGCAATGATAAGATTTATGACAAAGTCTAGTTCAATTGTAGGGATGTTGCCGTCCATAACCCAAGGCAAATATCCTTGTCACATTATCCCGATTAAGCTGGGAGTAAAATAGATCTCGATAGGGTCAAACCAATTAAAATTATCATCCTTGATCAATTGACTCATATAATGAAGGTTGATATCGAGCAGCAACTAGGAGACAACACCATATAGTATATATTTAACACAAATACAACATTCCCATCTCGAAATATAAGTTTTGCTTATCCTAGATATTAACAAATTTCTACACTTCTCCCCGCAAAAATTACAATGTAAAAACTTATTTATTTATTCTATTCAAGATATTACATTTTCTAGTATTTCTAATATAGTCGAGTAGCTCTGTCAACATTTTAGTATTCTTATTCGTTTTACGTTTCCTAATATGTACATTATTTCATTCTATTACATTATTATATTTTGTGGACCGATCACTTTTGGTCCCTTCTCGATAGTATGTGCCTTTTGTGTCTCTGAGTTTATATTATATCACGGGAGTATGATACCATTTTAAAAGACAAAAACTATTTTTGAGAATAGGAAGTTATTTATGAAAATGTTTTGATAATTTTCTAAAATTGCTTTGAATGGCTAGAAGAATTTCTAGAAAAAGTTGGTTTAAGGTAGTTTCCTTACGAAACTCTTCTTAAAGAAATAGAAGAAGAACATAAATTCTACGATCGTAAATATAGTATTAATTAAAATAAATCTAAGACATAGAGTAATTATATTTATCACCTTCGATTATAATTGTTTAGCTCAAAAAATAGAAATTACTTTTTAATATCAACAATGCTGTTTTTTTGCTGAAATTTTGACAGAGCTTTTTCCCTTTTGAGGTTTTTAAGTGGTTTTTTGGTGAGTTTTTTGTTTGAAGGAAGAAAGAACTAGTTTTCAACGCATTTTCGATTCGAGAGGGCACTTCAATTAGATAATATTGAGCTTTCCAATAGTGTCGACCTTAATTTTTCCTCGGTTACGAGGCGAATTTTTAGAATAGAAGACCGGATCTTTAAGATTTTTCTGAGATCGTACTAAAAAATGGCATCTATATTTGAGGTTGTGCCAAGGCCTTTAGTTTTGCCATTTGGACAAGGCTTTCAATTTGTTCTTTAATTCAAGTGTTAAGGTCTTTGCTAGATGGTGCTTCAACAGCCATGACGCTTTAAGCTTTGAGGAGTCGATTATGCACTTCATGAAAAGGTCGAGGAGTCCATATTTAATTTTTCACTGAAGTTGATGTCAGATGCTATGGAGAATTATAGGAGAATGGGGAGAGAAGAAGAGAAAGGAGGGGAAAAGTAGGAAGGTGACGGGGAGAGGAAGAGGATGAGAGAAATTGGGGAAGAAATTTAATTTATTTCATAATTAAATGTTGTCTCTATTTGAATGCAAAAGACCCATTTATATAGGGTATCAAATATACTATTCTAAATAAGAAACATCTAATAAGAGTAATTAAATCAAACCCTAATAATGTTTCCTAAAATACGAATGAACATTGGAAATTAAATATGGCTATGTTTGGTACCAATTCTCATTTTCAACAGTAAATCAATTCTCATTTTCAACCACACATTTTTCAATAAAATAATATTTTCTATCACATCAATAATCTTATCTTCTTTTTCAACCATATATTTCCCATCAAACAAAAAAATATATTATATGGCTATGTTTGGTAAAAATTCTCATTTTCAACAGTAAATCAATTCTCATTTTCAACCACACATTCTTCAATAAAATAATATTTTCTATCACATCAATAATCTTATCTTCTTTTTCAATCACACATTTCCCATCATATCACTATTCAAAATCAATTCTTCCTCCAAAAAATCCCTACCAAACACACACATAATAATATTTCTTATAATATTGCATCATTTCTCCCCAGTTGAAAGAACTCGACTTCGACGAGTTAGATTGCACTTCTTAACCAAGGAGGACAATTTTTTTTCCCGACCAAATAAAGGTACCATGATGATGTCAACAACTGAACTTGAAAAACATTCCCAAGCATTTGAACATGCCAAGGGGATCTATCTTTCCTTTTAACCAAGTAGCGATAAAAGACCTCAAAAGGCAACAATCTGAACAGCTCATCCACAAAATGTACCACAGATGCCACATGAGGAGCACGATGCACTGGAACTGTAAACTGATTTGCAAAAACAGATGAATGCAACACCGATGGCTCGAATATGCCCCGATAAAGAAACAATTGTGCTATATTGAAAACAAAAATCTCATTTAAGTGCGATGGCCACTCAAATGGAATAAGTTCAAGTAAGAAATTCAATCTTTTCTTTACATATGTGGGAAAAGTGTTTGAATGAACAATGACATTGGACAATGTGGTAACCCAAGAAGCATTACAGAGTGGAGGTAAAATCATATCAATGCCGACGTTAGAATCATGCAACAGATTAGGAAAGATCAACTTCAGCATGTAATTGAAGATATGCGAACTATTTAACTTGGGAGGTAACATTGTAGATAGGTCCTCATCCTCATTATTAGAATATTTAATTGGCTCCACAATGAAAACTTCATTATCTTTCTCAAGAGGAATACAATTAGACTCGGGAAGGGATTGTTTAGACTAGGATGATATACCTAGCTTGTGACATGCTTGGCGAAGATGAAAAGGATATGTTCCATAGGTTAGCCTATTGGTAAGTGTCATCTAGAGATTGGAATGCAGGAATATCATAAGGCAAGATTTTAAAATTCAAACCATCAACAAACCTAGATGCTATGAGGTGAGGAGCATCATAAATATGAAAATTATTCAATAACTCTTCAAAGTGGGCTAGATATACACAACAGTGGATCGACCCTATTTACAATGCAAAAAGAATTGATTTAGTAATTGAATTCGATAATACATAGGAGCATTTTTATTAGTTAGGATTTATTTCATCTCATCCCACAAAGTGACAGTAAGTTGACCTAAACAAATACGCGAATATGAAATAAGTCTTAGCGGAACCGACCAATGACATATTAGCATGAAAAATTTTATGTGAGTAACTCAAATTGTGATTGACAAAGAATTTTTCAAGATTGTCAAGCCAATCAAGTAATTAACCGGATCCAGTAAGGCCATTAAAGTCCACAGTTGTAATGCAACTTGCCTAGGAGAGTACATGTCCCTAAATAAGTTTCCAGATGGAGAATAATTGTCTTGATAAGTGGAAGGGGAATGTACATGATTGTGATAGTGACTAACAGATGTGTTATAGTTGTACGAGTATGATATAACATTTCTTTTAATAAGAAATTGATGGGGAATAGACATCAAAAGAGAAAGTAAAGCTCTCAAATAGCAAAATCGATATACCTCATGAGATGCTGATCGAGGTGGCAAGTGATATACCTTATAGTCCAATCCACAACTTTGCAAATTGGCGGTCCACAACTAGTCCAAATCCAATCCCGCTGAAATCTAGGGTGCACGTTGATCTGCGATGCCCGAATATCAATGGAATACCGCTGGTCCTTCTACAGAAATGGGTGAGTCTTCTGAAACCAAAATGGGTAGTCGGGTGGCTAATAAGTGCATTTTTGTGCATTTATTCGGGGCTATATTACTAGGTTTTTGTGTCGTTTTATTATTGTATTTTACTTAACTTAGATTATTTTTATCTTATTTCAGTTTTAGACCCGTTTCTAAGCAATTGGAAAAGAAAGAAGGATAAATCAACCAATTGATGGAAGTTTCGGGACTAATATGCATTTGAGTAAAAGTTGAAGCACTAAAATTGAAGTAATTTGTGTAGAGGACCAAGATGGAAGAAAGAATGAAGAAAATGACTGAAAAGAAAATGTGTGAAAGTTTTATAACTGGGCAGCCGATCGCCCAGCCATCAACATCATCAACAAGAGCCATTTTTTAAGCCTGGGCGGTCGCTCCATTTTCTACTGAGCACCCACCCAGGTTAAATCGCGAAAATTTTTCTGGTTTCCTTATTTCAATAGAACTCTTATGGATACAAATCTTAGATAGCGTATTTAAACCCTATAGCCTTCCAGAGCGAGGGGGAACATATAAGGGTTTTGAGAGAAGAAAAGAAAAAAAAAAAGAGCAACACCACGAAGCGAAGATAAACTCAAGAATTGAATTGGTGATTTCATTCTTTATTTATTTTTCTGATTTTCTTATTTCCACAATGCTAGGCTAGGTTAATTATGTACTAGGAGAACGATGAACTATGTAATATGATTTTTATTTCTTAGTTTTACATTCTTGACAATAAAAACACGTTTTGGATCTTTGAATGGTTTATATGGATTTATTTTCTACACGATTATTGTGAACATTAATTGTGTGAGTGTGGTGACCTATTTCATGCATTCGAAAGAAGTGGAATATGTTCGACATATATAAATTGTCATATGGTCCGATAAGGGATAGAAATATACTACTATACCTTGTGTGAATATTTAAGTGTTCATAAAACTCATGCATTCTTGTATGTTCGCATCCGTCATAGAGATATAGTCTAGTCACATATTAAAATATGTTTGACTTTACTCGAGAGAGTGTTAAATAATTTAAGAATATTGATTTTTCAATATTTCAATCGTGTGTCAAAGTGTAGAACTGAATTTAAAAATATTATTACATATATTAGAAGAAAAAAACTTCAACTTGCATTCGACATAAATCTTATTCTGTTCAGTTAAAGCATTCATAATTGCATCTGCAGCATTAATTTAGTTATAAATTCACCAAAACAAACATTCTCATTCTCATTGTTTCGGTTAAGATCACGGTAATTAGAATTAGAATTAATCAACCCTTGTGGGACGATACTCGAACTCAAAAGTCCACTTTATTACCTGTTAATAAACCGTACGGTATGTTTTATTCAAAATATATTTCCGTGAACAGTGGCCAATAAAGATGGTAGGGCAGTTGTGTTTCTCTATTTTAGCTTGAAATCGGTAAAAATGGCGGTGGAATAATGGTTCGCATGTTGTAGGTGGTATGTTGTTGATGGCACTAATTGAGGGCAACTGTAGGTGACGGTGAGGCAGCGTTTTTCGAAAGCAGTATATGGCGGCGGCAAAGGCGAAGAAGGTGATGGAATGTTTGGGAAGAGGTATTCGGTCTTGGATTGACCGAATGTTGGTGGCGAAACTGTGGGATATGGATTGTGATGCAGCGAATGGTAGTGGTGTGATAGCAATGGCGTTGGATTTGAGTTGGGGTATTGTCGTTTGGGGTTGGATGTATTGATAACTTGGTCGGCAATTTGGAGATTTGAAGGTCTGGATTATGTGTTTGCTCTAAAATGTAAAGACGACAGTAGTAGGCGGCAAGGGACAGAGTTATATGTTGGGTGATGGTTATTCGGATGATGAGGATTGTTTGGGTGGTTGCCGGCTATGTGGCTATGGGCCTATGGCTCATCAGTCGACGGCTTTGAGTTAAGGTCGGGGAAGACAAAGGTGGATAGGTGGTTGGGCCGATTTAGTAGCTAGGGTTGATATATAGGCCTGGGTATAGTGGATATGGGCTAATAGGTTAGTTTGGTTAGCTTAGGTTATGGGTTTGCACAATTGCAGGTTTTGTTTTGTATAATGGAAAGAGTTCACAAATGAGGCATTAAGAGCATCTCCAAAAGACTCTATATTTTTAATGAGCATGTTTTATTATTTGGAGAGTATCTATAAATTAAGAGAGTTAAAATTTTGAAGTACTCCAGCAAACTCTTTATATTTAACATTTAATTTTACTTCCATAAAATATTTATTATTTTTTCTTTATTTTTTATTTTAACTAGTTTTTCTTTAGATTATTTTATTATTTTCCTACATTGAAAATTGAAACACTTTGAATGTATTTAATTATAGAGAGTGAAATTTGGAGAGTCAACACACTCTCTAAATTAAAATGTTAATTTAAAGAATCTCTTGGAACATGATTTTAAACGTTGACTCTTTAAAATAGAGAACATCTCGTATTCAAAGAGTCTCTTGGAAATACTCTAACTTTTACAATTGCAAAAATCAGGTATTTAGTTAATTAATTAAATATATTAAAATCAAAATTATACAATTCATGGTCACAAATGCATACTTACGAGTTACAAATTATTTACTGGTCACATATTATCAAATTAATTGGTCACAAATTATTTCGAAATCACAAATCAAAATTTTATACGTCACTATTTATTTTATTAGTCACAGATTAAAAAAATTATAGGTCACAATTTATCTATCGGTCACATATTTTCAATTTTGTTGGTCACAAATTATCGAATTTTAAGATCACAGTTTAATAGTTAGTCACAATAAA